ACCCTCAAACATATCCTGGTGCTAGCCGGGAAGAACAGGAGAACAAAGGAATGATGAAGAATGGCTTTGTATTTATCCGAATGTGTGAATTCATGCCAATAGAACCAATTCTTGAGAAATTTTCTTGTGTATCTCAATCCACTGAAATCAGATCCTTCAATCTGTTTATTTTCACTACCTTAGCCAACCACATCGCCACATTCCAAAATGTAAATAGCGAGCGGCATTAATATGCAAATTTTTATAGCATTCATAGGCATGTCAAACTCCCTGAGCCCCGGTCCACCATCACCTCTGCTATATGCTGCTGACAGGGGTGCAAAGATGAGCAGCAAAGATGAGCAGAGGCATGTGGAGTTGAGTTAGGCAGAGAGGAGGGGGTTTGGGATGCAAGGCAAGGTTTGGGATGCAGTAGTTAGCAGGGGGATTTAGAATACACAGGTGTACTAAGGGGAATAGTCTGTCACAGTAAATACCACTGTTACATGGTTGGTAAGTTTAAAGCTCCACTCACATCATGCAGATGTGACAGAGCATGTATGTTACCATGCATCGTGTGTAGGGCAGCCCCTTCCACTCTTACTGTAATGTGGCCCCCACCCATGGTTCTCCCACCACATTACTACTCTAATAAAACTACCCAAAGGCACCCGCTCTCTCACTGACCTCCTCCAGCCCCTCTCCCCCTATTTAATTTAATTTGTTTCAATATTTAATATTTGTTTTAATAAAAATTTGTTTGCATTTTCATTTTATTTATTTCCATAAAAAGGTCCACCAAATTCCTCAACACCAGATCCATGATGCTTTTAATCAGGTTCTGGTTATACATAAGAGACACTGAGTGCCTATGGGGTGTGGAGGCTACGTATTCTCCTTCAAAGGAGGTTAGGTCTCTCTTCAATGATACTGCTGGAGGGAGAGTGAGAGGAAGTGAGAGAGTTGAGCCTTGCACCAGAAGTCCAAGGAACCAAGTTGTGGGTGTGAAGTCATACCTTGTAGCGAAGGCCACAAATTACCTGTGATAAGGTGTTTGGCTTGAAATACTTGAGTGTGAAAAAGGTCCCTGAAATGGGAATCTTCCACAGCTGGGTGAAAAGATGGGTTGCCCGGACCAGGAAAAGCAGGGAGTGAGACCCCCAGATTTCCACATTAAGAAAGATTTTTCGACAGAGTTTCCATATAGACCCAATACTGTGATGGGATTTGAGCTCTGAGGTGACATTGTCTACACACCACGGGAGTGCCGAAAACAAAACTTTGAAAGCTGCCTATTTTATCCTGACTCATTGTTTAAACTTACCATGTCGGTACCAATTGATGACTCGTTAGTTGAGAAGCAGTGTAGTATTTGACAAAGTCTGGAAGGGAGATACCCAGTGGCTGTGGTTTAGCCAACCACAAGAACCTGTAGGGAAGGCAAGGCGGTTTATGTGCCCACACAAATTGCATGAACAGTCTGTTTAAGGTCTTAGTATTAGAGGAAGGAACATGCACCGGAAGGGCCTGCAGATGATAAAGTATGCAAGGTACAATTTTTAAGATACTGCAACAGCCAAACCACGAAAATGTCTTGGCATGCCACGTTGCCAGGTCTTGTTTGATTTTCTGAAGAAAAGGGGGGAAATGAATCTGAAAGGCAGTAGACAAAATCAGCAGGAAGGTGTATGCCAAGATATTTTCTATACAATTTGGACCACTTGAACGAGAAGTGTCCATGTAAACTGAAGCAGGGAAGCCAGGAGAGACACGTTAAGAGTCTCAGATTTTTGAAAATTGATTTTGAAATTGGCAAGAGCACTATATCGGAAAGAAAGAAAGAAAGAAAGATGGTAGGATTGGTTATGAAAAACAAAAGATCATCCGCATAAGCAGCTATGTGGATCGAATTGTATACCAGTAACATCTAGGTTCAAACGCATCTTCTGCAATAGTGGCTCCAACGTCAATATAAATATGAGGGGGGATAAGGGGCACCTCTTCGAGGGGCATCCCAATCGAGATGGAGAACGGAGATGAAAGTTCTCCATTGATTCGTACCTTCGCTGTAGGATGAGCATGTATGGCCCATGTCCATGACAGCATCAAGGGCCCAGCTTACCCAGTAAAAGCCCTTCTCAGCATCAGTAGACAGTATCATCATAGGGATTGACCTGGACCGGGCAAGCTGTATAAGAGCCAGACTTTTGAGGTGTTCTCCCTAGCCTCTTTGCAGGGGACAACCCCTACTTGGTCAGAGTGAATAATGGCCATTATGAACTTTATAAGTCTATTGGCCAGTATTTTAGTAAAAGATTTTAGATCTATGTTGAGTACAGAAATGGGCCGATAGCTAGGGCAGAGCAGAGGGTCTTTTCACTCTTTAGGAATGACCACCACATGGGCACAGAGGGAATCCAGGGGCAGTTCCACCTCAGGTACCAGTGCATTGTAAGCTCACACAAAAAGCGGTCAGTGGTTAAATACTTCAAGGTGAAGCTATCTGGTCCCAGTGCCTTACCAGGTTTCGACTGGGAGAGGGCAATAAGACGTTCTTCTTCAGTAATTGGGGTGTTAAGATGCTCTGCAGCGATATCAGGTAAACAAGGAAATATACATATTTCTATAGTGGTAACTTGCCTCTCTCCAAAGCACCAAGTTGTATTTCTCTCTGCTTTCTAGTTCCTCATTTATCTGCATGAGTCACTTCTGACAAGTTTTCCTGACACCAAGAGCTAAAGAGGTGACAGGGAGAGAGTTCCAGCACACAAAATGTGATTGACAGCCTCAGCCATGTTCCTCTGTTTGTGTGAAGGGGGGTGTGTCACTTCCCTTCAATCAACTCTCAGCGCTCTTGTACAGTGTGTGACTGCAGCAGCTACCCGCCCCCTGCTTTGTGAGTCTGTGAAAAATCCTCTTCACCTCTGAGTTTTCCAAGGATGTACAGAGAGAAATGGCTGCAGATAAATATATGTAGGAGGATGTGTTTCACCTGTGTTTATCAAATGAGGCCAGTCACTTCACTGAGTATAAGTAAGGGTTTACAGATTTAGGCCCTGTCGACTACCATTCTTCCGTTTTGTAAAATTACTTCAGTGGCCAATAACTGCATTCGCATTGGATAACAGAATGGAAGAAGCCGACACTGTCAAAAAACTAAAACAGAAGGAAAAGTAAAGTCCTGAAGAAGAGTACATGGATAAATGTCTGTCGGCAAATAAAAAGAATGATGTTGGTTTCTTGCAGTAGGTGTAGGTGATTTGTCAAAAAACTGATTGCCCCTCACACTGCTAAGAAGTACAGGAAGTTTATTGACAGATCGTTCCCAACGCTTGCAGCAACAATGACCCCACACACACAGTCAAAATCATGAAAAAACTCTCTGCAGTGTGAGAAGAACAAGAAATTCGTCAAGAGATGGTATGGTGCCCAGAGTGTCCTGATCTGAACATTAGTTGAGCCAGTCTGGAATTACTTGCAGAGAAAAAAGCAATTTATACAGCCAAAGCCTGCAGTGAAACTGTGGTAAGTTCCTCAGTAGACTTGGAACATCTTACCATGTTAACACTTTCACAAACCGCATACATATATTCCTAGGATAATTACTGCTGTACTTTTTAAGGTAAATGGGGGGTCACCCTGAATATTATTTTAATTTTATATTTTTCAAAGGACATTATTGATTAATAAAACTATTCATAGCATTGTGTATGTGAAGGTTCTCAGTTATGCCAGTCATGGTTTATCCAGCAGTAATTAGTCACTTTCAACAGGACTTAATTAATTGTTGCTAATGTTAAAGACATTTCTTAGCTTGTCCAAGCCACGTTTTCAGTTCCAAAGAGTGTCTGGAAAATGACACTATTAGTACTGGGGTATTCTCCTGACACCTATTAGAATGGAAGAAGAGGCTTGTACAAGCTATAAAAATATTTTATCACAGAACAAGTTCAGTTGAATGCGACTAACTACTACTGGATATTCACAGAATTCATTTTAAAAGCATTCCAGCTTTATAATCCAAGTGGTCAAAACTTTTAAAAGATATATATTTTGTGTATTATTGGCGAGAAAGAGACCACAAAATTATCTTATTTACATATGCCCTTTTGATTTGTGTGAAAAATTTATTTCATTAAGAGGTCCATTTTAAGTGTTCAGCCACCAGATAGTATTATGTCTAATACAAATATTGTTAAATACCTGAAACAATACATTGCTAGGTTTTGATCGATCAACAGGATCTGCAGCAAGAACTTTTCTTTCAGGGCTATTTGAGCACTTTCTTACAATTTGGGGTTGTATGTCAGGAGGAGAAGGCAGAGGTCTGGGACATGGCACATTAGCCTAGAAGAAATAACTATTTATTAAAAAAAAAGAAGTCACTGATTGGTAAATTAAATACATTTACAAGTCAAAATAGAAGTGCAAGGTAAAACATGAAAAGGCTTTGCTAACCAATTCTAATGCTAATGTACACTACCAGTAAAAACTGAAAATGAAATGGAAATTTAAACGTATGCCAGTTCAAAGTTTGTGTTTCATTTATATATAGCTGTAGCACACCAGTCCACCAACTCCCTTTTGTTAGTAATATGGCTATCTGTGACCCCTTTAGTTTTGCTGTTTGCAGTATTGGGGAGATGTTCCCAAATACACCCATTGGGGTTCTGCTGTAGCTCAGATACAAAATGCCTGACGGATCAACATGGCAGTAGAACTGCCTCATCACAGCCATTAATCAGATTTGAACATCCACAATGCTGGGGAATTTGCCTGAAAGTGGGCAGGTCTGGTAACTAATTTACTATTTTCAATCATGGGGTCAGAAGGGGGTATATAATTTCCAATGTCAGTTAGCCCTTCAGAAAGAACTGTTAAATTTTATGGCTGTCGTTACAAATTGCAACTCTAGGCAGTAATACCTCACATGCATTTCTGCATTTGTGTACTTGACAGTTATTGCCTCCAGGCATTTTTCTTATTAAATCAACTACCCATTGTGTGTTCGCAGAACTAACCTTCTCAGAATCTACTGAAATCTGCTCTCTAATTCGGTGTCTCTTCTGTCTGGACAAAGATGGCCCAGACTCAGAAGTACGAGGATGAATTTCACTTTCTTTTACATGTCCATCCTAAAAAAAAAAAAAATTGACAAAAGCAACAATCGATGTCTCTAGAACCAAACATATAACATGATTTTTCTTCCTGTACTGAATAGCTCATCTGATATAGGCAAACTTTCACTATTGATACAGGAGGCCCAATAACGATATAAAAGCTGAATTCCAGGTATGGTTTCTTTGCAGAATTTCACTGGTCCAGCTTAGACCAATGTAAGTATATATATTCAATACTTGGCTGATCCCCGTGGAAGTGCAAAATTACTGTAGCAGCCACTGCTACTACAGTGAGCCTTGCTGTCTTTAGCATTTTTTGTCAAACGACTGCACAGTAGCCACAGGGGGTCACCCGCTTGACACAGTAGCCAAAGAACACCTTGTATTTTGACAAGTCATTCTCTGATTGTATGAGGCGCAGATCATAACATTGCCACCCTGCCTCTACACCTTGTCCAATCAGAAAACGCTTAGCATAGAAGCGTTCTTAGAATGACGCCCATGCTGAGCAAGGGACCCCTGGTGGTTACTATGCAGCAGGGCAACTGCTCAGAGTGGGAACAAAAGACAGCAAGGACCACTATAACAACGGAGGCTACTACAGTGATTCTCAGCTTCCACACGCATCAGCCAGGTATGGAATATGCATACTTGCAATGTAACTATGCAAAAAAAAAAAAAAACATACCTCAAATTTAGCTTTAAAACATACCAGATAATGACACTTACAGGTTCTGTAACTGGAACAAATCCTTCAAGGAGCTTCTCTGTAGATTCCAAAGCATCCTGCAAGGGAACAAAAATGTTGTATTACAATATGGCCTTTGAAAACTTAAAAACTTTCAGTCATAAACACAAATCAGTGCCAAAAATAAGTGAAATCTGCGCTGCTCTAAAGTAACTAATCATATTTTCCCTTTTATACTCAGACCTCACTGAAGGTTGAAATCAAAATGGAAACTATGAACCAACAGGAACTGTTTATTTAAAGTAGAACTCTGAGCTGGTCCAAAAAATAATATTTGTAGTCAAAGATGAGGGAACCCAGTGAAAAGTGTAAAAAAATTTTCAACAGGAAAAGGGGTCCATCACATAAGCACACTAGCAAAAGACTGGAAACTCGGATTGGGTGGAGTTATATGGATAAACTAGGTGGCAGTAAAGCATTTGCCATCCTGAATGTGGGTGGCCACTCTGACTTTATCACGTATAACACAGGATCAGCAAAGACTACTGGTCTTCAATTATACATGACAGTGTCAAGAGAACACAGGTGGTTGGAGAGCAGAAACGACTGGTTGGAGAGCAGCAAGAAGAGAAGCCTTTTGACAGTCTCTGATCACTACTAAAATCAGTGGGAAAAAAGACTGCGAGCCAATGGATAAGGTGTTGTTCAAACTAGCGCATTGCAGTAAGGTGCACATGAAATGTCTATGGGTGGTACCAATGAACATAAACTGACAACCAGATCTGGATCAAATTGTTCAGGTAAAACAACAATCAGCTCATGTATATGGCAAGATTTGTAATTCAGATCTAAGTAATGCAGTTTATTGAGAGCTAACCAAAAGATGACATTATGTACATATATTCTAATCAATAAAACAGTTCCTAAAATAGAATTACGCTTTGTCATTAACTCTGCTTATGTTTATACTAGGCTGCCAAAAATGCCAGTCAGGGCCTCTTTCTCAAAAAGACTCTATGCCATGACTGTAAACAGGAAGTGATCAGGAACAAGCAGCTTGCTTGTCACCAATGGGAGAAATTTCAGTTACAGCTATTTTTTTTTTTAAGTTTATGTATAAAGCAGCAAGGATAAGGGTTGCAAATGTAATTGTGACTTTAGGTTCATTTTAAAACAGCTGTTTGTAGAAGGCTATTATCAATATAATCAGTCATCGGTATTAAAAATTAAAACATGCTAATCCCACATGATACACAAAAAGGGGTTTATTGACGTTTCTTCCATCTATAGGCAAAATGCATGGAAAATGAAAAGTATTATAAATAATTAAATACAGAAATGCATAGAACCCGTGCACACGTGTTTCCTGTGGCTTATACGTGTCTATGTTTTTTACTTTCAAAATTATTTATAAATACAGGGTGCAAATATGCATACAAAATGCACGTAAAACACAAAGTAAATGCATGCAATGTAACTAATAAAAAAGCATAAGATGTATGCAAGTATGAACACAAGCAGTATGAATTAGTCCTTGATACGGTTTAATTTACAGTATGTCAAATAAATCACCCTCTGGCTGTACAGAGTGAAGGGCATTGTTACCTAATTTCCATGCACTGGGCAGGCATTACAGTGTGTGTTTAATGTGATATACATATCTTACATGCATTTTACATACAGTATCATTTATTTCCATTGAACATGTGTTTACTGGAAACTGTACCATATATGCAGCAAGCAGGTTAAAAAAAACCCCCAAAAAACACAGTAATGTTAATTGAAGAAAAGAACTGTGCCTGGAACCCATGCCCATGGAACTTAATTAATAGAACTATTTCTGTATTGAGATTCAGAGATACATAAAAAAAGAAGGAAAACGTTTGAACTTCATACTGAATCAGTCCTTCAAAACCATAAAAGCAACAAACACTTTTATTTGCAATCTGTATATACATAGTCAATTACTGACATACACACACATACAAGGCCTAAAATAAGAAAGCTACAGTATGGGCTACCTGAGGTATGTTTCCATCTTCTTTGGCGAGTTTCAAAAGTTTCATGGTGTCTTCTTCATCTTCTAGGCTAACAGAAGGAATTTTATTTTCCATCTTGCAGCTTAATGCTGGTTGCGGCGTTGCTTGATAGTCTTGCCCTTGGGGTCTATTCCGTGTCACTTTACCTGCAATGTCCCTGGAGATGCATCCATTCTCAGACTGGGGTATCAAATGTTCATCATGTGGCTGTCTTTTGTCACTAGATACAATATCAATAACCACCTTGCTAACGGATGAAATGGACACTGCCATATTATTCACTTGGACAGGAGACGGTGGAGATACGCTGGCTGCTTTCTTCACTGGACTCTTAACTTTAGTCTTTATTCATTGGATATAAGGATGCATTCAAAGATGCAAAAATAAAACAAACATTTGTTAGCACAATATAATTGGATTATGTCCAGGATAAAAGTTGTAATTTCAGACCTAAGAAAATGAATTTATCTTTAAATGTACTTAAGAAGTATCAATACCTGCAATTCAATTAGAAAGAATTTGATGTCATGTTACATTATTATATTACAGGTGTAATAGGCATATACTGTATGTTGGAATTTTCATTGAATTAAGTTTTCATAGTTTGGTTTTATTGCTATACTATAAATGTTAGAGCTATCAACGTAAATAATTATCATGAATATTTTAAAGCTGAATTCCACACAGTTTTAAAACACAATTTAATTGTTATTTTAAAAAGTCTTTGGATTTACTTATAAATGCAACTGGTACAGTATATGTGCCTGAATTTGTGTTCAAGCACGCTGTAATCCTCTACCTTGCTGGGCTGCAGATTGGGAAAGAAGCAAAACAGGCTCTGCTGCAGTACAAAGTGCTGTCAGTCTAATAGAGGACACATGGAAACAGAAGGGGAGAGCAGACTTATGACTTCTCAGTGTGCTACTGCTCCTTCACTGTCCAATAAGGCCAGGGTGTGTTTTGGACAAGTGGTGATCCAGAACCTGACTATACCGTCATGTATTCACATGTATTTTTAACTTTTTGATTGGAGTTCAGATTTAAAAATCTTGTTACTAAATATAGCTTCTAATTATATAAGTAAAGGAGGAAAAATATCTCCTTATTACATATAAAAGCTCTGCATATTGCTTAGCAGTGCCTTTCTGATAGCAATTTTTTCCACTTCTCTGCCCTATTGAAAACAAAAGACTATTTATGTGCCTAACTGATCTTTTCAAATAAGTCATTTAGTAGGTTTGCTGAATATACCACTGGATATACTGATAGCTTCTGAAAGGCACAATCTATAAGCATGTACAGTACATAAATATCAATCTTGATACAGTATCTATGCATCTGTGTAAAAAACTGCAACCAAAACATGGTGCAAAAACCTGGGTGTCATAACAAAATTATTTTTCTATGCCACCACTAGTTTCTGTAATCTTAATTCCCTTGCACAGCAACACCACAGCCAGAATATTCACATCGGGACTTGTGGATGTCTGTGTCACCTCCTGCATGCTATGGTTCCACCTGCTGGCTTGTATGCTACTAATGTGTCTTACAGTCATGTATCGGCTGGAAGGTAGAACCAGAGCTTATGGTGTGGCCTGCAGGCACTGCCAACTAACAAAAATTCTAGGAATGTGTGGCAGCATAGACATTAAAATAAATCTCCAGTCAAAAATGTAAGAAAAAAAAAAATTAAAAGCAGCCACAAAAACTGTAGCTGCTGAATTTCAAAAAAACAGCCACTCACCTATCTCTCGATTCATTGGTGTCCTCACCGCAACAGGTTTCACCAGCAGTCCTCTCTCCCAGTGTCAGCATTTAAAGTGTGGGCATCCAGCTGTGGCAGCTTGCGGCTTCACAGCCGGGTGCCCACTGTGCTTGCGTGAGTAGGGGGGAGAACAACTTCCCCTTCCGATTGCCTAGGTGGACATAGCGGAAGTGGGAGCGGGTATCTGTCAAAATTGGGTACCCGCTCCCCCTCACTCTCCTCAAAGGTGTCAATCATTAACGGGGTGCAGGGGACGAGGCCTTAAAGCAGAATTTCCCATTTTGGGTGGAGCTCCACTTTAAGTCTTTTTTTGAAGGGTCCTTTTGTATATCTGCAACATAGTCACTTGAATACATCAAACAGGAAACAGCAGAGGGTGCCAACCAAGTGCAGTACATAGGAAAAGACTATCGACCACACCAAGTAGGTAAACATATTTAAATACATAATGCACCCACAACACAAGATTCAATGAGCACTATGGGTTTTCTAAAAAGAGCAATGAAGATGCTATTGCTTTTAAACTGCCTCTCTGAATTAAAATTTCAAATGGAGCTTCCTGAAGGGAGCCAGAGAATGTGTTACTGCTCTGACTTTCAATATATTTCAAATTGAACTACTGAGCTCTGAAAAAAACAGCCTGCTTTTTTAATCCTTACCACAATAAATATAGAAATTAAGTTAAATTAAAAACACCTTTAAATGATGACGCAAATGTGCTTTCCCCTATATTTTCGAATGTTAAAGTGATACTATAGGTTAATTTTTTTTTTTTTGTAAAATAAAAAACATGTCTATACTTACCTGCTCAGTGTAGTGGTTTTGCAGACAGCAGCCGGGATCCTCCTCTTATTGGGTCCCCTGCAGGCTCTCCTGGCTCCTCCTTTCTGTTGGGTGCCCCTACAGTAAGCAGTTTGCTGTGGGGGCACCTGCTGCTCCGTGTGTCCATTCACACACAGAGGCGCTGCTTGGCCCCACCCCCTCTAATTAGTTGACTGGCTGTGATTGACAGCAGGAGGAGCCAATGGCCTCCGCTTGTTTTCTGAGCCAATGAGGAGGCAGAGACCTAGGATAGCCGAGGCAGTCGTGCACATCACTGTACTGTATCTTGATGGGGCTCAGGTAAGTACTGAGGGGGCACTGCTACACACAGAAGGTTTTTTACCTTCATGCATAGAATGCATGAAGATAAAAAACCTTGAGCATTTACAACCACTTTAAATTTAGAGATTTCATATTAAAAAAAAAATTACCACTTTATGTTCAATTGCATGATCTGGAATTGTCCGGGGTTTTAATTCCTGTTCAGCATTTTTGGAAACATTGTTTGAGTCCACCACCTTTTTTTTTTTCCGCCTGCCCTGTTTTCTAAAAGAAAAAAAAAAAGTTATTAAAATGCTGTTAAAGCTGATCTCTAGTTAGTTTGGACTAAGCTGTGACATCATCACTAAGCTGTACACAGCCGGTGCAGAAAGCTAAGCTGTGGGAAAGGCCCAGCAGCTCCACCCACATCAGGCTGCTTGTAGAAAACTACAGGAGGGGCGGATACAAGACCAGTCACCTTGCACAAGAAGAGAGAGCAGCAGTGGACAGTCTATTACAGGAAGCTCCTGCACAGATGCATAGTTTTACACTGGACTATTGCACCGATCTCGAAGAAATACACAAAGCTCACCAAGTAAGAATACACATGACATTTAGACACTATTTATCCTGAAGTATAGCTTTAAAGCTAAAGCCCAAGCAAACCTCTATATACTTAGATTAAATACATATGATGTAGTTTTAGTACATGAAGGTATGAAATATGGTAACCTTCTTCAAATAGGCAATAATTCTTTAAATTGTTTAGAGCATTTAGAGAATCAGCTAAATCATTTTTAAATAAGTTTTAAAGCTGAACTAAAGCGAAAAGTAAACAATGCTCCAGTGCAGTGGAGCTGCATCCACAATACAAAAAGTTAAATACTAGTTTAGGTCTAGTGAATTAAGAAAGGCAGTTTTAGTTATATGATTCTGCACTCAAGTAGGTCCTGTGCTGCTACACCTGTTCCGACAGCCTCTTCTCCCCAAAAGCTCCATTGGTCAAAGGACCTTCGATGCCATGAAGACCAATGCGGGGTCCATAGGTCTGCATTGGATGTGTGGATGCAGAGGAACAGTGCGCCATGAGACATGCTGGATAACCATCTGCTGGGGGGGAGGATAGGGGGGGTTGGGCAATGCTTTTTCTGTACCCCTAGAAAGTAACAAGTATTTACACACTGCTCAACTACAAGGGAGGGTTTTTATTTTTGCAAGAGTTGGGCTTTAATGAAAGGAAAGAATAAAAAGTGCAAGATAATAGTAACAAAACTACGGTATATTACAAAATAGACCGTAAGCAACAGCAAAATAAATGGGATTAAAGAAGCACAGATCCCCTGTTCATTGGGCTGGACAAGGCCCATGTGAAAGGGCCAAAGTACGATTCTGAGTCAGCGAAATTCAGAAAGGACTCTCGGCACTCTGGCATGGTTTAGATGGAAGATTAAGAGCTGTCTGCTGACAACTTAAGCAGTTTTTTTTGTGGACCCTTTAGAGGGTGTTGCTGAGCCAACCTCATTCGATCAAAAGGCTTAGGTGCTCAGTATATTTTAGCAGACCCTCCCTCAAATACAGCTTTCTAACTGTGTCAATGTTTCAAGGATTTGTGGTGTTATGATCTGGCAACCGGCATAATGCTGCAAAGCATGAAAACATGATTTGATTGACGTCAGACATAATATGGGTTTTACGTACAGCAGCTTTTCTTTCGCAGTTGGAATGTGTCTTATGCAGCAGTGTTTGGTGTTCCTTATACATTCAGGTAGACATTCATCTTGGATGTAATTTTATCGTATTAGTAGTTATGGATAATGAATAAATTGGGCTAGTAGTTAAAAAAACAAAAAAATCTCAGACAGGGTTGGCTGCTGTTTTGCTGAAGTATTTACAACCATTTAAGCCTTCTTCTACTGGATATATTTACAATGGCTGTTACCTGACTTTTGGCTTAAGAGATATCATGATGATGGGTTTAATAGCAGACTGGGTTAATTGAAAGGCTGTGTGGATTCTGGCTAAGCATAATTTATGACACTGCTAAATAAATAAATAAATATTTGATCAGGTAATATGCTTTACAGTAAATAACTGTTTGTCTTTTATCCCTCCTAGGTGTGTGTTTACAGTAATCCTATTGATTCTTCATAAAGTTTAAGCCATATGCCAGTAGTAAACTCTAAACGCCAGGTTTGCTTAACCTATGGAACTTCATACAGAAAACATTCCTGTGCCTGTGTAATGTAAACAGAGGCACAGGCTGAGATTTGATTCAGTATGGCTGATCAGCAGATCCAGGCCAAACATCATTGGTCTAAATCTGTGATCGGTGCTGTACCGAATTGTAGCGGCCGCGCGTGCCCCTGCCCCGTGAACATGGCGGAAGCAAGGATCACGTATATATACACAAGATTGTGTGCAGGGAGTCCGCCCTGTAGCAGTAAAAATGCTATAGAGCAGATGTTAACTGGTTAAAAAATAAATATATTGGCTTTATTTATCAAAAGACTCCATATGCCTTTTCCAAAAAATATTTTTTAACAATCATTCATAGTGTGAATTCAAGTCAAATTAGTGGAAATTCGCCTCAGATTCGCTCACTGGGAATCACATTCCCTGACATTTGACAACATCTGTTCTGGAGTGGATAAGGACTGGAATTTACTTTCACATTCACCCAATGCAATAATTTTTACTTTCCTGCACATGCCTCCCTTCTGTCTTTCAGCTCGCTACTCCTCTGTTATGGGGATATCAGCCCCCATGCACACTGGTGTGCTAGGCTGGTTATTTCTGGAGTGAGTGTGTGTGTATGGTGGAGGGGGGGGGAGGGAATAAACAGAGTTTTAGTTTCATGGAGAGCTATAGAATCCAAGTTAAAAAAAATATATATATATTTACTTAAACTATAAATATGGGAAGGAATGTCCTGCGATACTGAAAGATTCCTGAAAATTGAACTACCAACTCTGTTTTCGCTAATCATGTTCCAGGACAGCATAGAAGAGGACAAGTGAGAAATCCCCTAATAGGGTGGGACAACAGTCTAGATAGGTGCTTGATCCTGTAGTGGCAGACAAAGGTTTTGCAGCTCATCCTGCTTTACAGATCTGTTCTGGTGAAGTAACAGCGTTTTCCTCTCATGAGAGACCAAAGCCCCAGTGGAATGAGCAGCAACATCTACTATAGGGTTAGACTATGTGAATGAAAAGCTTGAGAAGATGAATTATTTTTCGTGTTCTATTTAGCTTTTTCTCCTCTCCTTTCCTTGAACCTAAGAATAATGCAGGAGAAGTGATTTGACTTCCTCAAAGGTTTCATAATTTCAAGGCATGCCAAAAGGCATCTCTAAGCATACTGACTTTGGAAGGCTTCCTTCTCATTGGTCAGATTTTTGCAAAAGGGATGTATTATCATTTTCCTGTGTCCTTTGGAAGTGTGCAACAAGGCTATGTCTGGTTTCAAAAATATTTTGCCTGCTAGTATAAAACAATATGGCTCAATTAGAGAAAGTGCATATATTTCTTTACACATGCAGAAGTCAAGGCCACTGAAATTGCTGCTTTAACAGTTTCTTGACTGTAAGAGTTCAATTTTTTTTTCAGAACAGTTCTCTAAGAGTTCAAATGAGGGTGTTAAGAAGTCCCTTGAGAACTGTGGAAAGGTCCCAGGTGGAAAAGTATTTTACTGCTGTAGTGCAGCTTCTTGTGATCGACTTGAAGAACATTTTCAATACTGATCTCCTGCTAGTCTTAGACGTTAGAAATTTGAAACTCCTACACTTGGACTTTCAGGGTACTGCAGGACAGTGTCAGGAAAGTCATGCATCTGATTCCTCGATATTCAGAACCAGATCTCCTACAGGCACTTGTGCCCTTCTGTGCCCTGCTATACCCTGTCATCATCTCCAAGGGAAGCAGGACAAGAAGTGTAGGGGCAGCCCTCTCGTCAGTTCGGCCTCAACCAGGTACGTGACCGATTTTTCGTGCTCCTTCTTGTAAATTCTAGGACCAATGCTATAACTGGGTGATCTGGGATTGTATTTTTAGTCAGAGGGAATGGGTCTTCCAGACTCTCCTATAGATGGCAGAAAATACTTTTTTTGGTGGAGACAACCTTATCTGCTCCCCAAAAGGATCTTTACAGTTTCTTGTAATTCAAAACAAATAGGTCAGGTTCTGAGATCCTCCACCTGGTTATAACAACATCAAAAAGTTTATGGGTCCAGGGACCATTCTGACTGTTTGAGGGCTCTCCTGTTGAAGAAGTTAGCTAAGAAATTTAGCTTTCCTTTCAGCAGAAGACATTGAGAGGAGATTTACTTCTGCCTAGATTAAAAACTCTTCTACTAATGTAACTCTTTGGTACCTCATATCCCTTTGGTGTTTGATGTAAGATAGACCTGTCAAATTGTCCAAACGTACTGTAGTTTTATCTGGAGACCCTTGACATGAGGTTTGAAATGATGAACTGCCTCAGCAATTGCTTTTTGCTCCCTCACGTTTAAGGAACACCTGGACCAAAAAGAGGTTCAAGTCACATGTCACCATTTGAAACAAATTGGCCTCTATCCCCATGCCCTGGCATATGTAGTTATCCTGGTTGGATCCCGTTGATGCCACACTGCAAGAGTTTCAATAACCATAGCTACCAGTTCATGGACTGCTTAAAGAATATGTAATCCCAACATTTCCCATTCCTGATACAATATGTGTTTGCTGTGCCAAGTACTTGTATGAAAGGTATCCTGTTCTATTTGTATTGCTTCCTTAGTAAGAAATCCCTGGTGTTCCTACCAGTACCTCTGATTTCCTATTAAAAACTGATCAAACCAAGCAGGATAACACACCGTGGTAAATTTTCTAGCAGTGCTGGGGACCCAGTCTGCTCTCCTTCAATGCTCAGACTTGTCCTGACAAAGCTCCACACAGCCTTTCACTGGTAAGTGCAGTATACTGAAGTTTCGCCTCCCCCAGCTCTTATGCAGCTGAAAACATATATATATATTTTTTAATATCTAAACACATTTATATTTTAAACTGAATGGGTTGTTTTACAAGGTGACGGTTTACAAACACTTTAACTCCACGTGGAATGAGAGCCTATTCTAGGGACTCGACTGCCATCCCAAACTAACAGCAAGAAATTCTGTAGGAATCTTTAGCGATATTAGCTCTAGAAATAGGCATTCACCCTTTATGGTGCTGGAGGAATGAGGACCTCACTGCAAGGGTATTTTTTTTTCTTACAATTCTGCCACTCCCTGTGATACCCAACACACAGGTACACTGCTGCAACTTTGTACAGAGCTACAAGCTACCAGGGTTTAGGGCATACTTACATGGGAGCCCAACTAAAGCCTCTAAATCTACAAGGATGTTTGCTCCTCCTCAGGCAGAGAGATATCTCAAGGCAATAAGGGTAAGGGGAAGAGAGGAGAGTAGACCCTCAAAACGTGAACATGACTTCTTCCTTGAAATCATTGCTACTCAGGCCAACAGGTCCACTGTCCTTTTGGGATATGGGGCTGCAGCTACCACAAAAGACCAAAAAAACATAGCAAACTTCTTTTAGTGTTCCTGTTAGGTCTGAGGAAACACTATGAATTGGGGTGACAAGTCTGTTCGAGCATTTGAAAGTTATGAACCATGTTTTTCCTGTTTTAGCAGGACAGATCCACTTTACTATGCTGTCCTGGAAGATTGGAGAAAACAATTTTTTACTTCAGCTGTACAAGTGAGATTAGATTGCTGTTTTTGCCTGGTGTCCATTCATCGTAATATAAAATAGGGTGCATGTGACTGTGGAATGTTAGGTGAATGCTGTCAAATGTCACTTGGGCATCAGGAAAGAATTCACTGGGAGAAATTAATTGTGAATCCTTTATAAAATACACCCACTAATTAAAACTTTAATTTGTAAAAAAAAAAACAAACAAAAAAAATTTGCCCTGCTTTGCATTAGAAATATCATTTGTATGACATAATAAAATAGAATCCTCTATAATAACAAACCACAGGATATTGACTGTAATTTTTATCTACAGCTACATTAGATGTTTACAAAGTATTGTTGAATAAATATTTAAATTCCTTTTTCCATTTTTTTTAAAGAATACTTCCGAAAGAAAGCCTTTTATTTTCACCAAAATTTTTAAAACTTAATGTCATTATCAAGAATAAGTCAATAGGCATATAGCTGATATGTTAAATTTACTAAAAATATGTCTTATGTCACATCAAAATAACTTACAGCTTTGAATTTTGTAAAAACAAGGCAATGTGTTCTTTAATGTAAGGTTTTCTTAATATTTGCCTCATTGTTGGCCTTTTTTCAGGCTGTCGACTTAGCATTGTTCCAATAAGATCTCCCAGGTCACTACTGTAATCTCTAGGCATAGGTGGCAGCTGGAATGAAATGGGATATAATTAATTTTGTAACCATGTTAAAACTCAATAAATAAAAAAAAAAATATACAAAACTGATGCCACGTTTTCATTGTTAAAAGTGTAGCAGTTAAACACCTTGTTCAGACAGGTGCTGACACCCATACTGCATGCGGGCTGCCTTATTTTTGGCATCTGCCCTGAGCTATGTGTAGGCAGACTATAGAAGTGGAGGCAGACACAGTGGCTGCATGAACACAACCGCATGTGAAAATTTGACAGCCATGCAGGAGCAGCTGCACTGCCCCAAAGGAACAATCTCTGAGTTCGGAGCCAAGCAGTCACTGTTGAATTTTGACATGTTGCTGTGTCTGTGCAGCTGCTGTATCTGCATCCACCTCTATAGGTTGCTTACCTGGATCAAATGCAGACTCCATAACAAAGGCAGCCTGCATGCAGGACAGGTGCCAGTGGGCATCTGAGCAGAGTCATAGGTTGAGGGTGCCTTTCCAAACTTACTGCCTAAAACAAATGAAGAGGTAAACGTTATTTCCTGGCCACTTCATGCAAGCATGATACTGATCAGTTTGAATAAAAAAAAATATATAGATATATTTTTCCCCTTAGTCTAGATCCCCTACTTTATTTGTATTGCCCTCCATTTTTCTGATTAACCCACTAAATTTCAGCCTCCATAATAGTGCTGGAAGACTTTGTTATGGGAGGTAAGCCCTTTTTTTCAAAATAACCCTTAAAACAGTATTTAGGGTCTAATGTTGGTAGGTATGGCTGTGATGCATGGCAGTGACAACATCCACCCTTCCCTGACATCATCGTGTACAGTCTGTGAATGATCAGTAGCTTCCATTAGGGTGCAGAAAGTGGCCAGTTACCAGGGCAACAGCAGTCAAGAACATTTAAGTTACATAGACAGTATATTGATTAAAATCTTGTTCACAATACCAGCAAAACCTTCAGAGGCCTTTCAGCCATCTTCTTCGAATGCAGTATTAAAGATATAGTTTAAAGAGACAAACCCCCCAGTTTGAATGGGACTTTTAAGGCATTGATACACAGCATTTAAAAATATACGAAATCTTTTTTTTCCATGAAATTTTTGCACATATAAAAACATAAAATGACGACTATTTTCCAAAGGTCATAATATATCGTTACATCACCATCATAAGATATTTGTTTAGTTACAGAAATTGTTTTATAGTAAGACAACGCGTTTCGGAGTAATGCTACTCCTTCCTCAGGGAAAAGACTCTGCATAGAGGTGGTATAATAAAGTAGGAAAGTAAGAATGAATCTTCAGCCAAGCTTAAGAACAAGATTAGACTTTGCTGCTACTCCCCAGCCACCATCCCAGTAAGCCTTATACCTGGGGCCCTCCCAATCAGAACACAGAGGCCACCTGAATCACATTATAGTTGTGGATATCCAGATGTTTCCAAAAATACTTCACCTATACAGATGAGCAAAGAGGCATATGGACCAGGGTCTTCAAAATATACACCAGATCAAGCCACAGAGACCATAGGAAAGGAGCCTCCTCCTTTTCTTGTGGGTCGGTGTGGATTCCCATAAGAGTGTGGTGCTATGAGTTCCTATGGTTGGGGGGTTTGTCTCTTTAATCTGCTTAATATTTTGGGGATGGTGGCTTATTATTAGGAATCTTTTTTTTTCTTCTTAGTATTGAAAATATAGGAACTTTTCAGAAGAGAAGATTCAGTCATTCTCTTTTGATTTCTCTCTTATTTCCACATTTGTAACCGCAAGGAAGCCACTGCATGGCAAGATCTTACCAAACAGATATATCATCAGAAAATATACATAATGACAGGCTTGTCTTGTAATCTGGTGGTTGCCTTGACATCAGTTGCTGGAGCTATTTGGGTTTGGTTGGACAATGTTAGGGATGTTTTGTAAGCAAACAAGGAAATGGCAACAATTCTGGCAGCAATGGGTGAGGTAGCTCTGGTTTTGGACTTAGTCACAGAGGCAGAGGTGGACATGATTCCTCTGACCTCTCACCTGATGGGTTATTCTGTGCCTGCAAAAGAACCTTATGGCTTAGATGTCAGACTGTAAATGCTAATTTGAAAGAGAGCTTGTCTATGGAATACCTTCAACACCTTAGCAGAGAAAGGTTTCCTGGTGCCAGGAAAGATTAAGGATCTAGTCCTCATTACCCAGAAGGCCATCTCTATTCCAAGATTTCAGCCAGGGACTGTCTATCCCTGGTAGGAAACATGTCTTCTACCATTCAGGTAGTCCCATGGGCACCTTACATAGTTTCATAGCCTGGCTGAAAAAAGACAAAAGCCCATCCAGTTCAACCATAAAAAAAAAGTTATAATCCTACACCCACAGTTGATGCAGAGGAAGGCAAAAAAAAACAGCAAAGCATGATCCAATTTGCTCCTGCAGGGAAAAAATTCCTTCCTATTCCCCCGAGAGGCAATCAGATATTCCCTGGATCAACTTTACCTATAAATGGTAGTAACCAGTTATATTCTGTGTATCCAAGAAAGAATCCAGGTCTTTTTAAAAGCAATTCACTGAGCTGGGCTCTTGAGGGAGTCTATTCCATATTCTCACAGCTCTTACTGTGAAGAATTCTTTCCAGATTTGGAGATTACATTTCTTTTCCTCCAGACATAAAGAGTGCCCCCATGTCCTTTGTGATGACCTCAGGGTGAATAACTCTACACCGAGTTCACTATATGAACCACTGATGTATTTATACATGTTGATCAAATCCCCCCTTTAATCTCTTTTCAAGAGAGAATAAATTCAGTCCTCTAATCTTTCCTCATAGCTGAGCTCCTCCATGCCTCTTATCAGTTTGGTTGCCCTGCTTTGTACTTTCTCCAGTTCCCCAATGTTTTTTGTGTGAGTTGGTGCCCAAAATTGAACTGCATATTCCGGATGAGGTATTACTATTGAATTGCACAGGGGTAAAATGATATCTCTTTCTAGAGTCTATACCTCTTTTAATACAAGAGAGGATTTTGTTTGCTTTAGAAACCGCAGCTTGGCATTGCATGCCATTATTAAGCTTGTGATCTACCAGAACTCCCAGATCTCTCTCAACCATTGATTCCCCCAGTTGTACCGCACCTAGTATGTATGATGCATGCATATTCTTAGCCCCCAATTGCATAACCTTACATTTATCAATATTAAACCTCATTTGCCACATAGTTGCCCAATTACACAGCGCATTGAGGTTGGCTTGTAAGTTAGAGACATCTTGTAAGGACGTTATTCCACTGCAAAGCTTGGTGTCATCTGCAAAGACCCTATATTGTTTATAAATATATTTACAAATGTATTAAAAAGTAAGAGTCCCAACACTGAACCTTGGGGTACATCACTAACAACCCTAGACCATGCAGAGTATGAATTATTAGCCACTACGCTCTGAATACCATCTTATAGCCAGTTTTCTATCCATTTACATATAGATTTTTCCAAGCCTGTAGACTGTACCCTACACTTTAGCCGTGTGTGGAGAACTGTGTCAAACGCTTTTGCAAAATCCAGGTATACCACGTCCTTTCATGAATCCATGCTGTCTGTTGATTAAGATATTTTTTTCCAGCAAGAACTCATCTATGTAGTCTTTTATTAAACTCTCCAGTATCTTTCCAACTACAGAAGTTAAACAGGTCTAAAATTATTTGGTAAAGATTTTGACCCATTTTCAAATATTGGCACCACATTGGCCTTACGCTAATTCAGTGGTACTATGCCGTTCATTAAAGAGTCCCTAAAAATTAGAAACAATGGCTTTGAAATGACAGAGCTCAATTATTTAACCACTTGCCTACCGGGCACTTTCACCCCCTTCCTGCCCAGGCCAATTTTCAGCTTTCAGCGTTGTCGCACTTTGAATGACAATTGCGCGGTCATGCAATACTGTACAAATATGACATTTTTATAATTTTTTTTGAGACGGATAGAGCTTTCTTTTGGTGGTATTTATTCACCACTGGGTTTTTTATTTTTTTGATGGGCACTGATAGGCATCACAGGTGGGCATTCACAGACATCACTGATGGGCACTGAAAGGCAGTACTCATATATGGCACTGATAGGCAGCACTGACTAGCACTGATATGTGGCATTGATGTGCACTGGTAGGCACTGATATGTGGCATTGATGTGCACTGACAGGTGACATTGATGGACACTGACAGGTGGCACTAATGGGGATACACTGAACATCAGTGCCCTGATGATCAGTGTAGATGTCCCCTCTGAGGAATACCGATTACCGGCTCTCCTCTCCTCACGATCTGTCACGATAACCGGCATTTCCTTATTTACATGCGATCAGTTGTGATTGGACACAGCTGATCATATGACAGAGCCGAAGTTATCGGCTCTTTCCACTGATCAGTGATCGGCTGTGTCCCAGGGACACAGCGCACCACTGATCATCGCCCTGTGCACACCCGATTAGGATGGGAGGATGTTATATGATGTCCTCCCAGAACTAGAGAACTGCCTTGCACCCATCATTTCCTTATATGGCAGGCAGGAGGTGGTTAAGGACCCGTGGGTGTATGCCATCCGGGCTAGGTGCTTTATTCACTTTTATTCTGTCTAAATATTTCTGGATCATATCAATTATGAGCCAATGTGGATCATCTGGAGCTGTGTCAATACCATGCCCATTATAACTCCCCCATGCTCCTTTGTATACAGAGAGCTGAAGAAGGTATTGAATAAATTTGCCTTCTCTTTGTCCCCAGTCACCCACTCTAGATTATTTTGTAAAGGGCCTACATGCTCGGACCGGACCTTTTTACTATTAATATATTTGAAGAATTTTTGAGGAATTGTCCTGCTATCTTTTGCAATCCGTCGTTCATTTTTAAACGTTTAAACGATGATAGCGTTCCTTCATTTTTATATTTAATAAAATCTCTTTTCTTATTATTTATAGCTTTTTTAACTTTGCTCGTAGACCACATAGGTTGGATGTTTAGCCTTTTAAACTTGTT